ATCGAAGAATATTTTGTTATCATTATTACATCAATTTGTTTCTAATGAAAAATATAAAAATTATATGTGTATTGATACTTTTAATATTTATTTCCAAACACCCTCAATCAATCGACTTAAAATGTATATGGTATATGAAAAAGCGTTGGCGATCGCCAAAATATATATAGCGCACCTCTGTCTGACGGGCACCAGCGAGGTACGACTGGCACATCTGTTGCGAAGCCGGCTGCTCCAAATTCTACAACGTCAAGTACTGCAGGTGTTGCTTTTTAACGTGTCGCTTCATGCTGCTGCGTAACGTGAACCCTTGACCACAGTGTTCGCACTCGAAAAGATATAAATATTTTGCTACTATTTTCACATGTTAATAAAAAATTTAATGCAAGTTGCATAGTTACATTCAAGTATTNCAAATTCTACAACGTCAAGTACTGCAGGTGTTGCTTTTTAACGTGTCGCTTCATGCTGCTGCGTAACGTGAACCCTTGACCACAGTGTTCGCACTTGAACGACCGCTCGTTACGGTAACGTCGCTGTTTTCGCTTCTGCACCACTAGGCCACCCTCACAGGTATGTAAGCCGAGAACAGGCTCCCTGCAAAGGGGTCCTTCGATCGTCATGTCCAATGCGTTACCGGCAAACAACTGGTGGTAGTGGTGTGAGTCAAAGAGCCTACCAAATGGCAGCATGAGGCAACTGGCATTTGGAAAACCAATGGAAGCCCTTGGGTTAAGGCTCTCGAGCGTGGTTGGGTGGACCGTCATATGGTTTGCCTCCATGTACGCCTGGGCAAGCAGCATCTTTCGCTGTTGTTGCTGCTTGCAGGAGTTGTCAATATTGCCCTCGTGACGATGCTTCGTATTACTGGTGGTGGTGGTGTTGTTATCTTCGATTTCAACGCTAGCCTCACGGCTGCAATTTTCCTGCCACTTGGTCGCGTTTGAGGAGCTCTTTTTGCTGAGATCTAAGACGGTGAGGTCTACCGTAAGGTCTAGGGGCTCGACGGAGCCATCATCAGACAACGGAGAGCTCCCAGAGTCGCGTTCGACTAAAAGTAAGGAATCCGTAGCGTACGAGTTGTTAAAATCATCGTCGTTTGGTTGATCACTCTGGTGCTGCAGCAGCTCGTTAATTCTGTTGGTATGATTAAAGTGCCGCTGTATACCTGGTGGCCTCTGAAAGTCGTCATGTGGCAGATACTTGGCAAGAGGTACCCCCGTCACCAGCACCGGCTGTTGGATCTGCTGTGACTGATCGTAAACGTCACTTTGGTACTCCAGGACCTTGAGTATCTCGTACCAGGAATCGTTGTCTGCCACACGAGGCGATTGAGACGATGCAGTCATCGAGTCGACCTGGTTGTTAGCTGAGTCCTCGCTCGGACAGTAGATGAGTACACTGTTGACCTCGTGGCTCCTTTTACCGTGCACGTTCCTCACGTGCCTCTCGCAGTTGCTCTTTGTCGTAAAAAGGTAGTTACAGATCGAGCACTGATATGGTCTCGGCCCGTTGTGCGATCTCATGTGTTCCTTCAAGGCGTTCTTGGTGACGCAGTTGTGCTTGCATATGTTGCACGGGAAAGGCTTGCCGGGTATCGTGTTGACATGAATTCGATTGTGGCCCTTAAGGGCCCGCGAATTCGTGAACGCACGAGTGCACAGCCGGCAGGAATATTCACCCTTGAGCTTCATCTCGCGAATTTCGGAGGCAATCGCGTTCTGGTCATCCTCTTCCCTGTTGCTGGATTGGGAAGTGCTCGACGAGCCCCAAGCCTCAGACGATCCTTGCTGCCCCACTGAACAATTGTCGGGCATTTCAGCTTTTTCGTGCAACTGCAGCCTATTTGACGTGTGCCCCGTCATGTTCATCGTTATGTTCTGGATGTCAGTCAGGTCTCCTTGGTGATTGTCGTGGTTGTGTTTCTCGACGATGCTGCTCGTGCTCGTAGCCACATTCGCGGACAGTCTCTGCAGACCCAGCATGGCGAAAAAGTGCTCCTTTCCTGTACCAATCAGGTCACTGCAGGTGTTGTTGTCGTGAGTGGTGGCAGTGGCTGCAATTCCACAGTTAATCTCGTGACCGTCGAGCGCCGACTGGCAGGGAAAAGCCCTAGGACACTTAGAGCAAAGGTTATTGATAATCGCGCCAGGGACCGGCCGGTGAAGTGTCCTCTCGCATGTGCGTTGTGGTATCAAGGGAAATTTTTTCAAAGTTAAGTCCAGGTGGAAAAGGTTACTGAAGCCTACGACCGCGTTGCGCGTCGGAGAAGCACCAGGCCCGTTGTTGCGGGAGTGCAGGTTGCCTCCATTGCTAGTCGGTACCTTGTCTCGCTTCTTCTTCTCCGCGTCGACCTTCATGGGATCTTCACGTTGACCTTGTTTCTTCGAGTTGTCACTGTCGTTGGAGCGCTGGCGTTTGCCGAGCCGTTTCTTGGTCTCGTTGTATGCGTCATTGGCGATCGTCGAGGAGGAACTGCCGTTAAACAGTGGCCTTTCGTTAGCATCACCACTGCCTATTCCACCAATGGAATTGGTGTGACTGTAATAGCCAGGGGATGGCGAGCCTTGGGCTGTCCTTACGCGCTGGTTCATGTTGTCGTTTGTCTTGAGGGACATGTCACAGTGGATGCACTGGAAGTGTTCGTCGGTTCGCGTGGACTTGTTAGGTCGATCGGACAGGCTGGACAGGCGTAACTGGTGCTGGTGGTCTCTGGCTATTGCTGCAGTTGGTGATCGGACACCTGTTTAAATTTAAAAGGTATATAAAATATAACTATTGACATGTAAACCAATACATGTTGATGAAAAGATACGCGTGTTTGATGACATGATTTGTAGGTAATATTTCTTACGAGAAGCTAATACACGGCAACCTCGAGGTTTTTCGAGGGAAGGTCGTGGAGAGAAGGAGGAGAGACAAAAAGAGAACGACAGCAAAGTCATAAGGTCTAGACTCCCTACTTATAACGTCATCCCTTGGATAGTTAAGTGTAACTACAAATATTATGTTTGAGGAAAACGATTAAACTAATGGTAACTTGTCAGGTTTTACTCATCTCGTATAATTAACCTTTATACATAAGTTTTGTGTATACTGAACTTATGAATCTTTTTTTTCCGTCAGAGGGTGGAAGGATATATATATAATCACTGAGTAAACATTACATGCACGCGTACGTGGGGGGTAAGGGGGTGGTTGGTGCGACACCAAAAATTTTAAACGCAATAATTAAAATTCAACAGTACAAAAAAATTTAATTTAACGCACACGATAAACAGTGGCCAGCATCGGTAGTATAATCATCACTGAAGTGTCTTTATACGCACCACCCATCCTCTATTCTGTACTATTCTTTTTTCACGCCATCGTTTCACTGTTTTTTCAAATCAATTATGAAGAAGAGAGGATTTCACAAAATATGTTCGCTGCTACGAGGGAGATTTGCGTAAAAAAAAATTTCCTGGATCTTGATCTTTTTTTTCAAACGAGTTTTAACGGAAGTGACCAAATTTGTTTCAAAACCCCCGAAAATATATAATATGCAGGATAAAAGAAAATACATACTGTGTAGTCGTGGTTAGTCAATTTTCTAAGCAACATAGAAACAGCAACAACAAAAAACCACAAAAATCGTTTTTATCAAGTGATCAAAAATTAAGTACTGATCGTCAAAATTGTATACGCTATGATAGAAAATCCGAATAACCAGGTCACGGCCACTTATAGGTAAAACAAGCGACTTAAAAAAAAGAAAATATAAAAGTCGTAAGAATAATAGAACAGAGCAGTGCACAATCGGTAGAGATTATAAAAAATAAATCGAATAAAAGACGATGCGTGGGGCTCAATGGAGGAACAAAAATGGGTAAATTTTCTTTGCCATAATATGATTATATACTTACGCAAGTTACTGCTGATGCTGTTGTCGTTCGGCAAAACCAGATCTTCGCTGCGGCAAATCTGGTCACTTGTCGAACTTGTATTTTTATAAGTNTTGTCCACTTTCTACTTTAGATATCGACTGCGATACGACTACGTATACTTAGGTACCTTGATTATTCTACGTGTTGAATGAACAATTGAAATCGACTTATCGACTGAGGATTCACAATCTTCATGGTATTATTAAAATATGGCCTTCTGATCTTTGATAAAAAGCACTTAATGAATTTGGAAATTTACATAGTCGATGCGTTTAAGTAATAATGTTAAGTAATTAGATCAGTACTTTATGATGAAAGCGTTAACATTTCGGTTCTAATTTTTATAATATTTATAACTTTTTTATTCAAAATTTTTTATACAAATTTAATGTAGAAAAGTAGAATGTTGCGAGACCAATTGTTGCACATTTTAAAACGGTTTTCACCTATTCTAGCATAGAGATAGTACATTAGGAAAAATATTACTACGCAAAAACCGTTTTGTTTAATGAGCTTTACAACTTTTCAATTTAATAATTTATTTTAGAATTTAAATGTTCGAGAGGAAAAAATGATTCTTTCGCTTTTTTCACATCTATTTCGCATTACAGATCATCTGCATTGCATGAGGGAGTAAAATATACTTATATGATATTTAAAAAAGTTATATTTCATCGTAACTAAAGCATGATGAACAAAGTTGAAACAAGTTGTCTTTTTTTTTCATTTTGTGGCTAAATACATGTAATTTATGTTTTTAATAGAACTGAACATTTTAATGACGTGTAGTATATTTCTTCATCTCTTGTATATTTTCACAAAAGGAGTCAAATACAATTTTTGATTAAAGTATATCAATCTTGTAGGTCTCAAAAAAAGGAAAAAATCTAATCATCTTGGCAGCACATTAGAGTCGAGTCTACGTATACGAACCAAATTTTAGAATTATTGACAGCAAAAATAATGAAACGTTTCGAATAAATATTAACGTCAAGTAGGTAAGGGGCTGAACATTACGAGAAGAATTGTTGCACAACTATAATATCTGCAACCTACTACCATATATGATATTATAGATATATCTAAAATATTTATTATGAAATAATATTCTACAACAATAAACGATTAAAAAACTAATGGTCACGCGTTTAATTAAAATATTACTAAAACCAAAGAAAAAGATCTTGAAGAGAACTTGAGCTCGGTTCTACCGGTAGTGGTAGTATAAAACTTACAGATATATTCTTTATATAAGTTAGCTTATCCATTACATCTTCATGTTTTTTACCGTTGAATTTTTTTTGCATTAAATATTATTGAAACAGTTTTTGGATATTCAGTAAATAACTTTTTCTAGACCGTAGGAAAAAGATTTATATAAGTTAGCTTATCCATTACATCTTCATGTTTTTTACCGTTGAATTTTTTTTGCATTAAATATTATTAAAACAGTTTTGGGATATTCAGTAAATAACTTTCTCTAGTCCGTAGAAAAAAGATTTATATTATGTGTTGGGCAAATATTTTCAGGATATTGTTAATTGCCGACACAAAACTAAGCAATATAACTTTGTTCATACAATAATTGCTTTTTTTTAATTAGGTGAACCGTTTTTAGTTTAGTAATAATTAAAAATATCATGGTTAAAATGAAATATTTTGAATTTTAAGTCACTTTAAAGAATTTCAAGCAAATATACGTGAATGACGTAGTAAATGTAATTTTAATTTTAAATATACATTTTAACTGGTCATCAATTT